CTCGATGCGCAGCTCGTGCGCCGCCGCCGCCTCCCGGTCCAGGCGCCGCAGCAGCACCAGGTCCAGGGGCTCCAGGAGCGACGGCGGCGGCCCCGGCGTCCCGTAGCGCAGCTGGAAGAAGGGCCCCGCGGGGTCCTCGGGCAGCTCGGGAGCGGGCAGCAAGGTGTAGCCCTGCGTGCCGAACGGCCCGGCGTCCGGGTCCTGCGCCCCCGGCAGGCGGAAGGCGGTGCCCGGCGGGCTGAGCTCGGAGACGTCGAGTTGCAGCGCGTCCTGGGGAAAGCGGGGCGCGTGGTCGTTCACGTCGTTCACGCGGATCTGCACCTGCACCACGGCGCCCAGCAGCGTGGCGGCCACGAAGCTGTAGCGGTCCCGCCGCTCGCGGTCCAGGCGCCGCGCCGTGCGGATGACGCCCGTGTCCGGGTGCACGTGGAAGTCGTCCAGCAGCGGGGAGTCGTCCGAGTCCTCGGACAGAAGGAAGCCGCCCACCTCCTGCTGCGGCGCGGGCAGCGCCGCGCGAATGTCCCCCACCAGCGTGTCCGGGGGGAGCCCCTCGTCCACCGAGAGGCTGAGGTTCAACACCTGCGCGGACGAGCCCGAGGCCGCCCACAGCCACGCGTGCACGAGGAGCCCGAGCAGGCAGCCCCGCCGCGCGCGGGGGCACCCTGGCCTCCGGGGGAGCAGGAGGCGCTCGGGGACGGGGGCCCCCGGCAGCTGACGCCGTGCGCCCATCCTCCGCCCGCCCGCCCGTCCGGAAGGGCTCCGCACTCCGCCGGCGCCTGGGGAGCCTCCCGGATAACTGCCAGCTTGTGGTGGGAGCGCAGAAAAATCCAGGAGCCTCTTCGGAGTCTGAGCCGAGGCAGGAAGGACTTTGGCAAACAAACCGGCAGAGCCGCGAGTTCCCGGGTTACCGCTGCAACTGGTGCGCGGCCTCCGCCTGCAGCTCCGCGGGCGGACGGGAGCCGCCGCCGCCCCTGCCGCGCCAGCCGCCTCTGCAGCCCCTGAATTATTTTAAGCGGAGTCTCATCGCTTGTTCTCGCTGCTTTTATTCCTTTCACATCTGGTCCTTGTTCTGCTCGGCTGGCTGTTTCTCGCCGGTAAAGTCAGGTGCATTATTTCTTTGGCCAAAAGGGAGGAAATTACTGAACGCGCGCGCCGAGCGGAGGCTGGGATGCGCGGCGAGGGCGGGGCGGGGCGCGG